ACACACACACACACACACACACACACACACACACACACACACACACACACATGTGGACTTACGACATAACGCTCATCTCTATTGGGGGGGAGTGACACCTGCTGGAAACCAGGTCTAGCGTATCATGGGCATCGTGAATAAAGCATCAGCCGAGACCTAACACACACACTCTCTTGGAGTTGTGTATAGCGAATATGACAAAACATAAACACAACATAATCATCGCTTTACCCTTCACCATAAGTTAATTCGTTCGTGTAGGCTTGCCCATCCTTTTATTCGTTTAAAAGGCAGTCTATGCCCATCCTTTTATTAGTTAAGAAGGCAGCAAATGTTTATTCGTTCAAAAGTCAGCCTATGAGGTGGAACCAACAACTTTGCGGCAATGCTCTAAAAGATGATTTGTAACATTCATCCGGACTGAGCAGCCAAAGTGCTCGAAAATTACGTGGCAAACATTTTCACTCAATTGTGTTCACCCTGTTCCCCATGCTATGGGCATCCTAAGGGAGTAAAGGGTGGGGGGGGGGGGGCATCTCCCTCGGTTCGGCTATTCCACGTGGAAAGGAATGTCAGAGATTAGGTCAAGACAAGCGGATGTAAGGTTTTTGTACAGGGAAAGTTGCCCCTATAGGGTAATTGACATCAACAGACCAATCATAAAGTTGTGTTGCAATAGGATCCAATTTTCTTTTTCTCATTGTCGGAGCTTGCGATTTGGCTTTGGTGAAAGTTTTCCATGCGCAAAGTTACCACCAGGTGGTGGGGTCCACCTTTATGTATGCTTCTTTACGTGAAACCTTTTATGTTCCTTGGTATAGGGTCGATTAGAGGAATCAGGCTTCAGCGGTTCATGGCTATGATCCTCTTTGAACCTTTGATGTCCCTTGGTATAGGGACGATTAGAGGAATCAGGCCTTAGATGACTTGCCATGATACTTTTGGCCCAAACCCCCTTACCAGGGGTTTCGTTTAGTTTTTTATTTGTGCGACAACCACTATAAAGGGGGGGGGGGGGGAAAGTTATTATCTACAGTCGTTAGATACGGGGGCTTATATTGTTATATCAATTGTTCAGGGAGAAAGAAAATGAAAGAGAGACCGAACAGTTTTAAATGACAATTACTAAACCAACCATAACATTGTTCATAGATTGCGTCAATAAATGAAAGAATACAAGGAGGTCATCGTTTCTAACATACTGCTTCTTATATTCAGAACGAGGACCCTGTCGTTCTGAAAAGACAACGATTGTGTAGGCATTG